TTTAGTACTCTTGCATTCACCAAACTACATGGAGACTGCAGTGTGAAATTAATGATTTTTCAAGACTCTAGAACGTGCCATTAATATGCATCCAACTCGCCTCTTCCCTGAGCTGAAGGTTGCCTGTCCTGACCCTGCCTACACATTTCCACACCCAGTTGCATTTTCTAGCCCATGTGCAGCTCCACAATTAAATGCCACATTCACTAAAGAAAAGTGTGTAAAACATCTTTCAGATCCTTTATAGTAAAAGGCACAACTTGCAACACAACAAGGAATGGAGTGATTTAAGAAATTACAGCACTGTTTGGTTTTTTTTTAAGCTTTCATAGAATAAACACAGAATGGGAAGGAAACTTTGTCCCCCTCTGCTCCCGTTCTTGAAGTGAATACATATTTGTGTTTCCAATAAAAGGCCATTTTTACATTAACTGTCTGTAACAGCAGGAGACAGAAAAACTAACACAATCTCCACATCACACACAGAATGATCTTCATATCACGTGGACCTATTCTCAAAACTATTATTTATAAAAGACAACTAGGAAAATGCACAATGCATCTCTTCTGTGCCACCAAAAGGGTAATGTCTGAAGAACTTTGAGCTCGTTGGGATCTTCTACATTTTAGATATATGTATTTTTTTCCTTTTGGCTTTCCAAAGTAAATTTAGCAGCCATGCGGGCCACTGTGTTTAATTAAGCTTTCAAAAGTCCTCTGACAATGCCAACAATTGTAGGACACTTCTGCGGCTCAATCATGCAATCACTGTGACAGTTCTATTTACAATTTGTCTTAGAAAGAGTTTCTCTGACATTGTACTTTGACAAAACATCCAAGCTGCCAGTTCACAACCTTTCTCTGTCTTATTTACAAATACAGCTTGTATATAGGACTCCCAGTTTCATGAACATGAGTCTTTGGGTAGTGTCCTCACAAACATAGGCTCCCTAGGAAAATCTTAAGTATTTATTAGAAAACAATATTCCTCACTCTCTGAATTCTGAAGATAAGTAAAATGTTCACAAGTATATTGGGTTTTTTGGTGGTGGTGATTTTTGTTTTAGCTGCCATGCTGAAAATTCACTTCATAAGTCAGTAGTTTTTATTCAGAATCACACAAATAAAGAGAAATGAAAAATAAGTAGTCATAATTGGATACTATAATTTATAGTCTCATTTACAATTGCACTGTAAAGTACACAAATACATCCTTTAGTTGAGTCAGAGCTAGGAAAGAATTAGAATGGGTACAAAAAGAAAAAGCAAGTTAATTTTCTAAATTCTGAAAAAACATAAGTATGTTATACTTGATTTATCTTTAAGTAACATGCTAATGTATTTCCATTTTGAATTAGTATTTCCCCCTTCGTTAGAGTTTCTGTCTTACATATCATTATCTAAATATCAGTTGTATTGTCTGGGCAAATAATTTTAAATACTCTGATATAAATGTCTATGTTCATGATTATAAGGAGAAAAAATGTTATATATCAATAGCAGCAGAGTATACTACATTTCCTAGGACTTGTCCTATTTTTTCCCATTCTTTCAAAAAGCTAACTTCATGATAGCCCAATCTTAATTTAAAGATTCCTATGTGCAATAAGCCAATGCCTCAAATCTGACACGACAGGATCATATTTTTGGAATTTTCTAATAAGAACATAGTAGTTTCACATTCACTCATCTTTGAATATTTCCCCCATGATAAAATATGAGACTAATAAAAAAAAATGAAAACAAAACCCCTATCGAAAGCTCCAACTGCCAGTCAAAGGGTGTTGAAATCTGATGGTGGGTATTTGACATACATATCGATGAACTGGGCCCACACAATGTAAGCTGCTAATTTCCAGTTACATTAATATTATGTCAATGTCTCAATGGATCACAATCACACGATACTTTGAATATTTGAATAAAATGGAAAAAGCAACCTGATCAATGTTTGTTTATTTAGTTAACGTGTACATGGATGAAGTTTAGGAGCACACACCTATCTATACTCCAGGTAAAAAGCAGCCTCTCTAAAAAATACTCAACTTACTCGAGAGGCCTATGCAGTCAAAATGTATACTATTTTACTGAAGATTTAAAGAATTCTACCTTATTCTCCTATCTGAGAGTCCCAAATTCTAAGTTTTACTTATCTTAGGAAGAAGATCTATCACTGTTTTATTCTTGCTTCCTGCCTATAAAATGGCACAGACACACAGTGAACTCAAATCCAACTTACATCACTTTAATAAAGCCTTTCCTACCCAGTGCACTTAGATGACTACCTTTTATGTGGTTGCCAAACATATTCTTCCAGAGATTCATCAATATATCTCTTTCTTTAATTCAAAGCATTGCTGCTCCTTTCTTTTTGTGACACAATTCAAATATCTACTGAATGATTACTGGTATTTTTTCCTTCCTCTTCATAAAAAGAAAAGCAGACTTGGAATTGTGGAGACGTGCTTTAGAGAAATGGGCTGGGGATACACAGTCGTCTTTCAGAACTTCGCTTCTGGGGCACCTGCGGGCCAGAGTATCAGAATTTATGTGCAATGGTAGAATGTTAATTTCGCCATAGGAAACTCTTAATTCATTACTGTGAATTATGAGAAGTCGTGATTCTAGTTACTGATATCTCGCTTTGAGATGTGACCACTATTTATGTTCAGCCAAGTCCAGGGTGGGAACAGGTGATTAAACACAATGAAAGGAATCAGGACTTTGAAATTATTTATGCATGAAAGGTTTATCTCACCTGGGTCATAGCGCTTGTGCACCCATTGAGTGTCTTCGACGCCTTAGATAGCATCTCATTTCAGTGAAATTATTTAGTATTAGCCCTATAAATTTGCTCTTTTTTTGGCTTCTCTAGGCTCTGCCATTGTACTAGTTCTCTCTCTCTCTCTCTCTCTCTCTCTATATATATATATATACACACACACACACACACACACACACACACACACACACACACACATATATAATCTTTATAACAACCATTGAGTTATGGCAAATTTCTTTCCCTACGGAGATTCACAACTGTAGAAGTAACAAGTCTTAACTATATGTAAGGCCTTCCCCCAGCTTTTAGATTCCTCCTCTAAGAACACAGGCACAGAATTTTTGAACTGGTTAATCTGAGACTGAATAACTTATTTGGGACCTCAGCAAGAAGTGTGGTTTTAATTCTTGCTTGACAGACACTGTGTTTTGTCTTTTAAACGAGCAGCTCGATATGTAAATACGATGTTACATCACGCAAGTGTTACTCCATATTTGGTGATTTAGCAAGGCTTTGGATCTCCGAAGACGACAAATCCCCTTCCGCCTGCTCTTGCTTCATTAATCATGCCTTACACTTCTGTTCATTTTCCTTCCAGTCACAAGACAGCACATGGAAATGGTCATTCCCATATCCTACTGGGAGGGTGAGGGGAGATAAAATCTTAACCTACATGTCACAAAAGCTAAATGTAGTGAACTCAAGAAAAATACTTTATAAATGCAGCTTCCCTGGTAGCAGATTTCTCATTTCACTGAAGGAAAAGTATCTGAGTGTTACTACAGAAAGCATTTTTAAAAAGAAAGAAAATGCCACGTTTGATTTTAATGATCAAATTCCAGAGGGGGAGAGAAAAAATAATATGACATTTAATCCCCTCCAGACCACTGACCTATTACGGTTCAACGTTGTGGTCAAACTAGGTCAGAGAGACAAGTTTTAGAGAATCAATTCCTGGTATGCATTACCCTTCCTAAAACTGAACAACCCTCCTGGCTTTTGGGGGTGGAGAGTAGACAGAAGAAAGTGATCCACTAACAGGCATGGCGTTTTGGTCATCACAGAATCTGTATTTACTTTGTCTAATGTGCCAAATCAAACAATGTTTTGAGGGTCACTATAGAGTGTTGCTGTTTATCACTTAGAGCAGGGAATTTAAGACCCTCTGCTAGTCTTTAATCCCTTCTCCCTTGAGCTGCTGAGAAACCCACACACCTAGCTACCTCCCTGCTAAAATTAACCGAAGGAGGGAGAGCAGTTGAATACGTGTGCGTGTTTTTTCAAGAAAATTTTTACATTGTGTTATAGCAGAAACAGTGGAGTCTGGACTGGACATTTGTAAGGGTGACATGTGGCTGTGTAAACCACAAACAAAATCAAGATACATCTGTCAAAACCACATCAGAGACAAGAGAGAGCACAGAGAAGCATTTATCATTTAGCTGAGGAGGCAGGCTGCAGGGAGCAGCCGTTCCTGTCAAACCAACCTTTTGAAATTTCCAACATGCCCTTAAACTTTTCGAGTAAGCATGTCTGTGCGCTTCAGCAACTGCCCTCTCTACTCTGGCCTGGCCAGTCGAAAATGGCATCTTAAAGTCAAGGTCACGGTGTCATCCCACCACGGGGCTGTGTTTAATTACAGCCCCATCCGGGCTGACAGCCAATATGGATCCAAGGCTAGCCCTGAAGCACAGTTAACTCTTTCCACCTCCTCCAAACTGCCCTGTAAGCCCACCCTACTTCAGGGAAGCATTGGGAGCCAACTGCACCCCTAGGGAGGCCTGACCAGGTATTCTGAGTCAAACAGGTCATTGGCTGAACTACAAATGCCTATATGGCCACTTTGCCTCCAACATGCCCCCAAGACTAGAAGTGGACACTGTGAACTGGACTAAGCACAGTAAGGTTCAACACTTTAAAATGAGAAGGTAGGGGCGGGTAAGAAAATAAATTCAGAATCAGCAGATCCAGAGAGAGGGTATCAGGTGTGTGTACCTATTCTGCCTACATTTGACTCTGTGAGGTGGAAAATATTTATTTTTGTGTGTTCTGGAAGAAAGCAAGAGGAATGATTCTTTTAACATTACAGGGCTGCCATGGATAGTCACATGGAGAAATACAGAAAGCACTTCACCACTCCTTACTGCTTGGCTACAGCACCTCTGAAAATAAAAAGAAAACATGCAAACAGCTTTTCTCCTTGCTTCTCATTTACCTGCTATGTGTTCCTGTTTGGGGCAAATTCCTCTAGATGACGTTGATAAACAATCGTCATCCTCTGGCGTGACCTGGATGCCAACCTCCACGGGATTGGATGCTTTTTTCATCTCGATTGGTGAAGGGGAAGGTGGCTTATCCACAGCTTTTTCTAAGCAGAGGCTGCCATTGCATTGTTTCCGTTTGTGCTCGATAAAAATAAGAATGTCCCCCAATGGGAAGTTCATCTGGCACTGCCCACAGGTGAGGAGGTCATGATCCCCTTCTGGAGCTCCCAACGGGCCGTGGTCTGGTTCATCATCTGTAAGAATGGCTTCAAGAGGTTCGGCTGTGGTTGAAGAAACAAAAGCACAATTAGTAGAGTTCCAGAGAAGAGAGAAAAGGGGGAAAATACATTATCAACCCCAACCCATCCCACCACATTATGTAAAGTGTTTCTAAGCTTGCTGACAGAATACTCAGAAAACGTGAGCATACAAAACGAACAAGGACATGGAGGTTATCAACAAGAAAGCAAATTTATCAGTAAGGCAAATCATCATAGATTACTTGCATAACTCCAGAGAAAATGCACACACACACACACACACACACACACACAGACACCAAATGCGCCTGATTTGTAAGTTTAGAAAGAATGTAACTTAAATAAATAGTTAACACAGGGAACATAAAGAAAGCTTAAAAAATAACTGCAAGAAAAACTAGTAAAAACATGGACTGAAACCAAATTTGTTTCTTTTTTCCTATATACTAAGTTGTCCATTGTGCCAAAGAATAAAAGAAGAGGTGAAAAAACACACACGCCCTTTGTGTGTCAATGTATATACTAAGTATACAGACCTGGCTTCACAAATTAGAAAGCTACTACATCACATGAAAAATGTACACTTACACTATGAAAATATATACCTACTCACCTATGAAAATATATTCACATATGAAACAGATCTCAATAATAATCATAACGCAGCATAATTCACACTGCCAAAAACCTTTCTGATCTGAGTCTCAGCAATGCCACAAAATCAAAGAAATACCAAATTCACTGGCAATTCTTCTCAGACACATTAGCTAAATGGGATACTTTTGAGTACTTAAGAAAATAAGCCAATTAGTCATTTTTTTAATTCTGAGAAAAGGAATGCCTGAAATTTTTCTAAACATGTTTGCACATGGTGGCATCTGTGACACAAAAATCAGAATGGTCAAGCAAACATCACATTTCAGAACAAGGCTGAGAAGTTCTTTCTGAGGACTAGAAATACTTTGCCTAATGTTGTCAAAGTTGACTAATTTTCTGAATGAGCTCCAAAACGCTTCATTATGAGACTATTTCTGCACACATAATCACCAGCGGATGGTATAACAAGGTAGACATGTCTTTCCTGTTTGCTTTTTTAAAAAACTCTGTACCAAAATACTCCATCATCTATTTGAACAACTTCTATCATTTTTTCACCTTCCAAGGGGGAAAAAAGAGTTGGTAAGTCTCTGCTCGTGAAACCTCAGGCTCGCTCTATCAAAAAAAAAAAAAAAATCACAATATACAAAACACATCCAGGATGCTGCCAGTTAATAAAATGAAGCAGAAAAAGTACAAGTCTTAAACAGTTAATCAGTCTGACCTTCTTTAGTAAGCTGCCAATTTCACATTTAATGAACTTAAAGCCACAGAGAATCAAAAAATAGATTTTAATTTGAGTGTAGAATATTGGAACAGATTTTGATAAAGTACAAAAATCCAGTGAACTCAGGTTAAATTTATTTCAACCCTACCCAGGCTGCATATTGAGGGGGAAGATCTAGAGTAACTCCCAGATGTGCTAGGTGAAATAATATTGAGAGCCCTGACTAGCTGCACCTGTGCTCAAGTAGGACATGTCATAATTTCTAGCCTCTGGTACTCCTTCTAATTTAACATAAGGTCACCACAGGAATATGAAGGTTATATTCCTCCTAATAAAGACAGTAAAGTAAGCACTTATGTTTCTTTGCCCCATGTACTGACCAAATGATAAATACAGAATACACATGCAATACTTTTCAAATAAAAGGAGACAAACGGAAGTGCTTCTGTATTGTGTCTTTCTGTCATTTTTCTCCTACATGCTTTCATTTTTACCAAGTGAGGAACTGAACAGAGAAGTCATTCTCAAATATCCTTACTATTGAATTAAAGATTTAATCCTTAAAAATCCTGGCTACATGACGATAAATGTGACTTTTTTGCTTAGCATTAACTACAGATTCTGAGGTTTGCAGATTGAAGGCTCAGGGAAAATATTTTCTTTTATTAAAGTTAGTAGTAATGTGGAACCTTTTTAAAAAAGCATTCCACCGTTAAGATTCATTTATTTATTCCCAAGGTCTGACATGTTACTGAAAGTGGGAATATTATTTAGGAGCAAAGGTATCAAACAGTTAAAGGTAATGCGGTTCACAACAGACTTGGTTAAAGTCTTCTAAATGTAGTGACTGAACTGATTTACAATCAAAACCAGGAAATGAAGTGGTAATTCAGAGGTTGCTGATTACACCTCCACATTTCACCTAATTAATTTTATAGGAGGCAAAGTTCTTGAAAATAACAAGATGATCAAATGTACAGATATAAAACCTGTAACCTCAACATTTTCTATGCTCTTAACGTAAATTATTGCTAATTAACAAGAATTATATCCTAATGTATGAAATACATTTAACATCGGTCTCTTTGCAAAACATTTGGCTAGTGATGTTCAGAGAAATACCAAAACGTGTTTTTATTATTGCTGCTATATTATTAAAAATCAAAGTGGGACACAAAGAAAATATGAAAATACAATTCTCTTGGTGAAGCCCACTGATTTGCATTGACATCTTTTCTCGGTGGCAATCAACATTTCCTTTCTGGACATCTGATAATTTCTCTGCATTTTCATGCAAATTCCTCTTTCCCTAAAAACCTTCCTAACCTCAGCCATTTACCCCCTCCCTCAATTCAACTCCATCCTCCTTCGCCCCCACAATACTAACGTTTCTAAGCTCCAGCCTAAACTCCGTCTACAAAGCAGGGAGTCCTCGATTGAAGTGGAAGGGAGTGGGCAAATAATCATAATAATTAGCCGCGAATTCTCTCTACAAGGGGAGGAAAAAATAGAAAAGAAAATGCTTCTGCGTTCAAACAGCAAGACAGCCTGGAACGTCTCAGTGTTCCAGCGACAGGCTGAGATCTCTTTCCTCTCTCTCTGTTGTTGGAAAAGAATAAATGTAAGGGGGAAAAAAATCCTTAGAAGAAATGTTGGTAAGGAGTAAGGGAAACGGGGGCTGCCGGGGAGGCGAGGGGGAGGGGGAGAGGGAGACAGGTCTTCAAGTTTGCTTTCCAAGTCCTTCCCCATGATTGTCTTAACAAGGTAAAGAAGCAAACGGAGGCTGAAATGCAGAGAGGAAAAGCAAAGAAACAAAAGCGAAGCCAGGGGCTACGGGCCCGGGGCAGGGGGCCCTGCAGGGGTGGGCTGTGCAGAAAGTGAAGTTGGGCGCCGGGACTCAGAGGCACAAAGCGAGCAGCGTGCTGGCTGCAGGCTCCCGCCGCGCTCGCTGCGAACACGTGCAGCAGCGGCCGCCGGGCCTTGGGGCCCGGGGGCTGGGAGGCAGCGGGCCGCCAGAGGCCCCGATCGCTGCCTCCACGCCGGTCCGGCCGGGCCGCGCGCGGGGTGACGGTTCTCTGGGCCTGCCAGTTGGTGAAAAACGAAACGAGGCTTGGAAAACCTGGCTGGTTACCCCGGTGCAGTCTCGGTATCACCGCACACACCCCAGGCGCAGGTCTTGAGATTCATTCTGTGTCACACGCTTACACTTTTTACTTTAGGGGGATCTCTGCAAATGCGTTTCCCCCGCAATTCTGGGCACGGGGTGTGCGCGCGACAGCCGCTGCGGTTATTCATTATTAATGACGCTGCTTGCTCGCATCATGATGATGATAACTATTACTATTGTTGTGATTCCAGGCTCCGAGGCGAAAGCCGCGGGAGACGGGGAGGGGGTGTCGGGCTGCTGAGCCGCCCGGCAAGCCCGCGGTGGCCACCGAGGACTGCGCTTCGGGTAGGGGTAGGGGATAGAGGGTGGGGGTCTCCAAGTGAAGCCGGAGACTAAGGGCAAACTTGCCATGTCCCTCCCTTCGGTCAAGCCCCGAAGCCCAAGAGCGCGCATTCCCTGTCCCTCCCTACCAAAAACGCCTGCCCCAAAAGAAAGCGAAAACTGCACCCCGCTCAGCGCCCGGCGCGCGCTAGCCTCAGCTCGCCCACGGGGCTGTCGGCCACGCGCCCGGGCGCTTCTCCGCGGCCCTGGCCAGAAGCATTTTTAAAGTCAAAATGAAGAACAAAGGCATAAGGGGTGATGGGGGAGAGAAAGGGAATTCTGCCTAACCGTTCGTTCCCCCCACCCCCACCCTCGCAAAGCTCGTCCCTCTCTGGACGAGAATCGCCGGGCAGGAGGTGGGGGAGGCTCTGGTACAGGTTCAAGTTCGCTGAGCTTTCTTGATCTTGTTCTGCCTCCTAGCGACCGAATAGCTCATTCAGCCCACGTAGCGGAGTGGGGGGGTCCTGAGGACCGGGATGGCTCCCGCCCCCTCTGCGTACCCAGAAAATGAGAAGAGAAAAGAGTGACCTCTGCACCCCCTCCCAAACTGGCCCTTTAACCCAGTGCCGGCACCGGTAAAGGAGGAGGGGGAGCTAACCCTCCCAACCTGGAGTGTCCCAAGATGGACCTAAGAGGGAGGGGGTACGGGGGAGCAGCCTGGGCTGCGCGCCCCCATCCGTCCTTTGAGCCCCCACTGCATCCTTCCAAAGAAGGGCCCAGCTTTCCCGAGTCCTGCGAACACTGCCCTTCCTTCCCGCCGGTACCTGGCCGGTCTGTAACTTCACACCGCCGCGCGCCGCGTCTGATCCGCATCCGGCGCGGCCGGGGGAGTGGGGGGCGGGGGAGAGCGGCGAGGGAGGGATGCGCGGGGGTGGGGAGAGGGAGGGCCCCGCAACGTGCCGGGGCGGGGGAGCTTCCGAAGTGTGTGACAAGTTCCAGGGCCCAGTGAAAAATTCAGTTCCCTGTGCGCACCCCCCCCACACACACACTCCTTTAAAAAAACAGAGAATCGAGTATAGGTGGTCCTTTAAATTTGCATCAAAATTTAAAATAAGAATCATAAACGGGGTAGAAGAAGATGTGGGCCCTTTCACGCCTTTCTTTCCCTTGCTGCCAAACTTTCCTAAGTGCCCACTGCCCGCCTTTCCAGGCGCACTCAGCCGGACAGCCGCCGCCACCACCATCATTACCACCCCCCTTTACATAGATTCAAAGGAACCCCTGACCAAGCCAGACCCAGAGTAGAGGGCAAGACCCCGAGGGTGGGGTGCGTGGGGTCCTGGAATCCAGCACCCCCAAAATGCGTACTCGAAAAGACACTTCTCCCCTGTCCCTCTTCAGTCCCCCCCACCCCT